GCGCGACACGTTTCGTTGACAACTGTCAAGTAAAATTAATTACTCCAACGAATGAAATAATGTTTTCCCTTCTTCGGCTTAATTAATGCCAAAAATTATTTCCTTTCACTCGACAGTGCAAACATATAAATTAATTTCGTGCGTTTTATTACATTTGCCGCGCTGCTGTCATGCAAAATATATTATGTATGTATGTGTGAACTTACATGTGTGTGTTTGTGGGGGCCGCAGTGGCAAATGTGTTTATTCAGCGCTCAGACGAGCTTTTAATATGCATTTGTAAGTATGCTTGTATGTATGTATATGTGTTTATGTGTTTGTATATGAATCTGTAAGCTACACTCCTCATAAATATATTGTACAAACAATTTGCGCAAACAAAAAGGATATGCGACGGGCGTACATGCAAATAACCACACACTTATACATTCCTGCCATATGAGTGCGCCTGTGTGCAATGAGCATATTTTCCATTTATGAATATGCATGGACCTGAAATTGACACGAAAATGTCAACTGCAATTTCATTGTCTGCTGTTGTCTTCGGCAATTGTTGTTTCTGTATATTTGCCGTTGTAGGTGCTGCGGTTGCCACAAGCATGCGCTGCCTGCATGCCACCCCCCACCAAAAACGGGTGGTGAGTGCAACACAAAACAAGTTCTCTTTGCACTTGCCATAATTCGCTCACTCATTCGCTATCATCGCTGACATCAAGCCCGGCAAGTGTAAGTTCTGCAGCGCCAAACTGCTAGCAATCATTTATATAAAAGTGTATGTATGTATGTTTGTGTGTTGTTGTTGTATGCAATTTGTTCGAGTGTCAGCGGCAAGCGCATACACTTGTCCTGCAAGTGTCACTTTGCTATTGTTATTGTCGTCATCAGGCTCGTTGGCATGTACCCTCGTCAGCGCTGTCATGTTGTTGGCACCGCCGCACATTATTGTTGCTACGGTTGGTCGCCTCGCTTACGGTGTTAAAATATTAAACATAAATTCCAACTAGACACACACACACACACCAACACGCTCAAACAATCGTATGTTGTTGGTGTGCAAATGTGCCTGAATTACCACAATTTGAGCATTGCCATCAAAATCGTTAGTGAGGCGCCACGGAGTTGCATTTTTTATGCAGCAATTTTAATTATTTTGAGTGAGGGGTACACGTTTACACCTGGTTCAAGCGGTGATAAGAGGTAGATTTGTGGAGAGTCTCCGCTGTTAAGTGTTATATATCGTTTGACAGTACCTTGCTGCTGTCCTTACTAAGCTATTAGGTTGGAGCTCTGTAAGCAGTTGTTTAAAAGTCCAATATCAGGAAATGGATCTCATTTTTCACAAAGTTTTTAAAAAATTGAGCACATTTGCTGACTAGCTGCTTCCACAATAACAGTTATGATCCTTTTTGAACTTTTTGTTTTGATCTCCCGCAACGCTTTGTGAAAATATGTTCAAATAACTAGAAAATTCAACACTTGTTCACCAAACGCCTTTGCAAGCTATTGTGTGTGCGCCAAAAGCGTTTTAAAGCTTGTTTGTGTGTTTCATTCAATTGCTTTTGAAACCATGATAAACATTTTAGAAAATAACCGATATGTCCAGAGATCCTGTTAGGATTTACAGCGAATTATTTTAGATTTAAAAGTGCATTTTCTATGTCCTTTGAATGGCTCCAGCTTTTCTACATTGCAGTACAAAATTTTAAGGTTAGAATAATGGTCGATAATCCCAAAAATAACTCTGAGAGCAGAATGAGTTACATTTTACTTACTTGGGTAGTACACATTAGCTCAACAATAATATATATATATGGCAACATTTTAATGGCAATTGGTTTGACCCATAGAACCCACGTATGCCCAAAAATTATTCTGAAAAACTGAAATAACAATTTTCTAAGAAACATTCGCATAATGTAGGTATCAAATGGAATGTATACTGAAAATCTTGAAATTGCACTTATTTTGGAATAGAGCTGCCACATATCGAAAAAGCAAAACAGAAAATTATTACTGGAAAAAAAGAAGACTTTAAATTAACCAAAATTGTCTAAGAAAGCTTCGCCTCAATTTAGAATTATTAAAAAAACGGATTCTGAATTAATATTTAAAAAGATTTTCGAAGAGCTGTTGATGTTTTTGGAAAAGTTATTGTAAAGTCTTAACTTAAGACATATTTAAGAAAATATTGCCATTTATACGCGATATGAAAGAACGGCAGCACGAGCATTAAGCTAAGCCATACATAAATTGGTCTTATATTTTACTCGTATTATAAATTATAAGTAGTGAGAGTATACATAGTATAAGTAGATATTAGTGTATTTGCTAGAGACTTTATAGTAACAGCATTCTTACTTATGATTTGCCAAACGCTTCAGTGCACAAATTATTATTGTTATTATTATTCCTTAATTTACTATTTTTTATTTATATATTTTAAATTTGTACTGATTTAAAAAAAATGAAGTTATTTGCAGCATCTTAGCGCCTTTATTTTACATATCATATTTTAGTAATTATACTTGCAGCCAAAAAATTGGAAGCAGCTAAATTGTTTGGAAATATTTAATAAAAAATTTTTAATTAAAAGAAAATCTTAAAAAATTTAAATTGATTAAAACGATTTGTTCATAACATTTCTTCGTTTCTAATTTTTTGGCATTGATGTTCGTCACTCTTTAAAATACGTATATTTTATGTGTTTATAAAACGATCTTGAAAAAATATTTTTGGTAGTAAAATTAAGAACAAAAGTAAATATCTACAATAATCCACTAAAAAAAGTAAAACATTTTTTAAAGTAATTTTTAATTAAGATATCTGTTGATATATATTTGTATGATCTTAAATGTAGGTGATCTACTATGAAAAAAGTAACTTGAGTAGAAAAGAAAAATCAGAATAAATAGATTAAATATTAGTAACAAATAATCACATTTAAAATATTACTTTT